GGGGCTGGAGCGCATGACTTATTAGGGGATGCTGAGGGATTTGGGCTTGTTTAGTCTGCAGAAGAGAAGGGTGAGGGGGGATTTGAGAGCAGCCTTCAACTTCCTGAAGGGCAGATCCAAAGAAGATGGAGTCAGGACAATGGGCTGTGCCTGGAATGGGACTGCTTCTCAGATACCATACAGAAAATATGGAGACACACCAGACAGGGGAAAGGAGTTGGCTGGGAATGCACCCCTCCCCCTCAATGAGACTGCTCCAACCCTGATCCTTTCACCCTGAGGCACCTTTAGAGAAAGTGGGGCACTGATACTCTCCCCCCTGGAGCTGATTCAGCTGTGGGACATGCACCTCTCTCGCACTGTGCCCACTGGAGCTGCAGAGGCCATGGAGAGGAACTTCTCACCTGACCCTCAGCTGCTGCAGTGAGAGAAGGGCTGGGATTGTCCTCTCTCTACCCAGAGCAACCTGCAACTGAACCCCTCCTCTCCAGCCCCACTCATAGTAATGATTTAAATGAAGAAAAACAAAGAAGAAATTGAGCTAATGACCAGAGCAATGCCGAGTAAATCTTCTAGTAATGGTATACAGGCCGTCCTCACTATAAGTCCCAGATATGATCCAAATAACTTGGACTTACAGTAAAACAACTTAAAGTGGGGAACTTTTTCCCCATGACTGACTTCCATTTGTGCCAGTTGAGGAGCCTTTTTTTGCTCGACTTAAGAGTGGGGAATTGGAGGACTTATAATGCATCATTTCCTACAAAAGTCAAAGACTTTAGCACGGAACAGATGTAAACTGGGGTGATTTATAGTGGGGGTGCTCTGTATCTGAAGCCACATCTCCACTTACTGGAGGATCAATAGTTTCAGAGGGGGAGCCGTGTTAGTATGTTACTGAAAAAACTTTAAAAACAACAAATAGTTCTGCTGCACCTTAGAGAAGAACAAAAAAAAAATGATGGTATTATGAGCATTTGTGGGTACAACCCACTTAATCAAATGAACCTCTAGTGATCGATCCTCTAGGGTTCAATTTGGCAGGGCTAGAAAAGATTCCTTTAATCAATTGCTCAGGCTGCCTCCATCAGCACTCGCACTCAAAAACGTTATACAGTGAAATGCTCTAACTGTACATAGAGTTTTGCCACATATATTTTCCCAGAGGGCAATGATGATCAGTGGATTATGAGCTTTCAAATGATACTTCACAAGACATGCTTTGGACAACATATATCATCTTTAAAAGGTGCACAGCTGTTGCAATGTGTATATAATTTATTCCCATCCACTCTTTTTGTGGAGGCTGTCTTTAATTTAAGAAATAGCAACCGAGCAACACTTAAAAGAGTCAGCACAGCAGCCTGACATCTGAGACCGTACTAGGAAGAGATTTCGAGTGTCAGTCAAATGTCTTGTAAACAAAGTATCTTCAAAATGAGACTCCACACAGTTCCCTTAGCATTGAAGACTATGAGAGACACTGCAGTCATTTGGGAGCTATAAATGGTTATTCTGAAGAATATTGCATTATTGTATAGGCCTGCCTTACTAACCCCACTGGTCACTTGATCCCATCACATTAACAAGTCCCAGGGCCCGACAGTCCATAACCCAGTACTAGCTTGTGAAGCCTAGTGTGAAAACCACTGGTATGGAATGAGGGGCTGCATCACCGCTCTGTTACACATCGATTTGGCACCACTGTTCCCCTAGTGGCATGAGATGGAAAGATCTTCTCGTAGCTAGTTTAGCCCTGTGTGATTTGGGGACTAGCTCCTGGCTGAACTATAGAACTCTTCTGTAGCCTTGAAGAAAAACATGGCTGGGATGATTGAGTTGCGTTTGGTCCTCCTTTGAGCAGGGGGCTAGACTCGATGCAATGACTCCTGGGGTCTCTTCTAGCCCTGGGGTTCTATGATTCTATGACATTTCCTTTCTCTCTGCCCCAGATCTGGCTCTGTGACATGGAGACAACACTGTGCTAGCTAACAGATGTTGTGATGACCAATCGAGTCTGTGAGGTTCTCAGAGGTGCTACATTGGTAAGGGCTATGGAACAAGGTACGGACATTTATGCACCTTTTTATAAAGCAGGCACGTCTGACTACACCCACTCAGAAATAAGCAAAGGGGGGCAGGCAGAATTTAAGATCCACATTTTCAGACGTATCCCTGGGCACCCTGAATGAGTGACTGCTTTTGTAAATGCTGCCTCTGCAATGTTTGACTAAGTAGAGGCCTATTGTCCAAACTGGCAGATTTTCTTCTTTCAGACAATTCCTCCACTCTTCAAGGAAAATCCTCATTCAACATGGAAAGTAAAAATAAAGTTGCAAACACAAATGATCTAAGGGTCAATTGAGGAAAAACTCTGTATGTGTGAAGTATAAGGGTGGTGAGGCCTGCATTGCCCCCCTTCCCTACTACTACTAAGCCAGAAGCAAGCCTCTAGAAACATATGCCATTGCAGCAAGAATCTAAGCCAGAAGCAAGCCTCTAGGAACATATGCCATTGCAGCAAGAACAAATTATAGATAAGTCTGGGAATATAACAATCTTGTTTACCTAAATCTACTGATCATGTAAACAAAGTCAAAGGACAAGCAGTACAGCTGAGCCATACTGTACCAAGCGATGAATAACCCTCGCAAACTTCCAAACTGCCAAACAAGGTAGAGACACTGTATTTAAAGCTGCACCAGAGAACAGAAATTTGGACCTCACCGATGGGCTTTGGGTACTGGCGCCGTGGAAGCTGAGACAGTCTTCTACTTCATCTGCAGCCAAATCAGGGTTCCCCAGCTAGCAGAAGTGACATAAGAACATCGCTTTTCCTATCATGTTGTTCTTTTAGTTAAAGGTCACATCTGATAGTTGTCAGAAAATAACCTGCTTGTGTTTGACAGATACCTGTGTAGCATGTCTTTGTACTTTGAGAACCTAGTGTAGGACCTGAGATTAACTCTTGCTGGCAATAAATGGTCATTTTAAAAACAATTAGTATTGATGGTACAAAGAAGAACAGGAGATCCCAGGAGTGGAGAATCTGTTTCCCTGTAGAGTAAACTGAGGCAGTCCATGGTATCTTGCTGAGAACTGACAACTCAAATCCTAAATCATTAGGCCAGGCCTGGGAAGCACACAGACAGCATTTAACTTGACTGTGGTCGTCCTGGCGACTACATTCCAAAGGAGCCTCACTCTGATAAGGCCTGGCTGGTATCCGCCAGGCTGAGCAGTTTTTCTTACTGTCTCCTGTGATTTCAGATTAATCAGCTTGGATCCCAAGGACTGTGCCAACACAAGGAAGAAGTCATCTCACAGTAGACATCACAATTTCAGCAAAACAAGCTAACAGCAACATGTTCATTTCAGGGCCTTCCATCCTGTTTATGTTGGCTCAGTTAGCTTGTAAAGAATAACTACCTGTATTAGTGATAAGATGTGTAATTGGCAATGGGCAGAGATACTGTGTAACTTTTGTAGTTCGTTGGCTTATGTGCATATCTTATTTCTGCTGCTAGACCTATCAAATCACTTCTCCTCCGTCTATCTCCTCCGTATATAATCTAATGTAGTGCTCACCAGGCTAACCCCCTGTGTATTGATGGTGCAGAGAAGGACAGGGGATCCCAAAGAGTGTAGAATCTGTTCCCTTTCCTGTGAGTATCAGCAAACACTGGAGAATCTGATCGTTTCTGCAATGTTCTCTACAGATGCTAAAATCCCCATGTCCGGAAGTGGGAAGCCAAGCAATAGAAAGAGCTTTGATATTCAAAGGCCCAACGGATCAGTGATGTAAACCTCCCTTCACTCTTGCATGGTGTGCACACCTCCTTAAGACATCCGTGTTGTTGACTTTAAGCACTGTGGGATTAGCGCAGACCAGCCCTGAGAGCTCCAGAATAGAATAGAGCTCAGTCACAGGGCTCTGTCCAGCAACATGGGAGACCCACTGTCCAATTGCTTCTCCCCATCAAAGGAGGACTGACCCGTGTCTCCCACATCCCACACGAGTGCACTAATCATTGAGTGAAACTATACAAAGGCAGCAGCACTGTCGCCTCTTCTGCCACCTGAAGCACTTTGCTAAAAGTTTTCTAGGGATCCAATTGGCCAAACATATAGGGAACATTCAGATGTGGATCAGGTTGCTCTGAATATTTTTGTTTAATTTTTTGCAACCATCTGTGAACTCATAAATCAGTTACTGGCCTAGCTATACGCATTTCTCTCTCCCAGTCCTACCTATCCCACAATCCCTATTTGTCAGAATCTATAACGCTTGGCAACAGAGAAAGAACTCACAGTGAGCCCGCTGATGCAGTATAAATATCAAGAGTGCGATGCAAGTTTTTCCTTCTGTTTAATTCATATGTAGAGAAAATTAATACTTTTCGTACTATTCCATGTTCTGTTCAGACTGTCACAGAGGAGACACAAACACTGCACCTATTCTCGATAATGTTATGCTTGCTGTTACTTGTTTTGTTATTACTATCACAGAAAATACAAGCAACTGTGATGGAAATCACCTTTCTCCTCCTTGTACCTGGAGAGAAATCAGGTGAGAAGAACCCCACAGAGCACAGAAAGGGTCACAGATTGGTAGGACGGTGTGCTACTTTGGTTCACCAAATCAGGTGAGAAGAACCCCACAGAGCAAAGAAAGGGTCACAGATTGGTAGGCCGGTGTGTTACTTTGGTTCACTCACAGAATTCTCACAGGTCATCCGGGGAACTGCCCACTGAAATCAACACCAGCAGAAAGAAGAGGGATATGGATTTGTTGCTCCCCTTTTTACCTCCCTGCTCTCAAAAAAAATCCCATGTATGTTTTTATGTGCAGACAGAGGCAATAACTAAATGAAGCCCTGATCTCAGTGGGGACCTGCAGCCCTTGTTAGAATAGGGACACATATGGAAATCGACATCCATATAGGCTGGAAACTGAATTCAGCTGTTTCCACTGCCCATCACTCAACCAGCATAGACTTTCAGGGACTGGTTAGGAGTTTATTCATGGTTTTCCTCAGGGCGTCCTTCACCTCCCTGTTCCTCAGGCTGTAGATTATGGGGTTCAACATGGGGATCACCAGTGCGTAAAACACGGACGCTATTTTGTCATTGTCCATGGAATAGCTGTAGGTGGGTTGGAAATACATGAAAAGGAGAGTGAAATAAAATACTCCCACCGTGATCAAGTGACAAGCGCAGGTGGAGAAGGCTTTGTACCGGCCCTCGGCAGAGCGGATCCTCAGGATGGTGGTGAAGATATAGACATAGGAAAGGAGAATGATCACAACACTGAGCATTACAGTGTAGCACATAGAAGCCAACTGCACAATGTCACTGATGCGGGTGTTAGAACAGGAGAGTGCCAGCAGGGGGGGCATTTCACAGAAGAACTGCCTGATGATGTTGGAGTGGCAGAATGACAGTCGGAATGTAAAATACGTGAGTATCAATGCATCCAGCACCCCTACGGCACACACCCCAGCCACTAGCTGGTTACACCGCTGCCTGGACATAGTGACCATATAGAGCAGCGGGTTACAGATGGCCACATAACGGTCATATGCCATCACAACCAGCAAGAGACACTGAATATCTGAAAGACACAGGGAGACATACATTTGCACAGCACAGGCAGTGCGAGAAATGCTTTTCCTCTCAGCTAAGAAATTCTGCAGTAGCGTAGGGACAATTACCGAGCAATAACAGAGATCACAGAAAGACAAACTCCTGAGGAAAAAGTACATGGGGGTGTGGAGTCGGGGATCAATCGTGATTAACAGGACCATCCCCAAGTTCCCCACGACAGTGATAACATAAATCATTAGGAAAATCCCAAACAGAGGGGCTTGTAGCTCCGGACGGTCTGTCAGCCCTGAGAGAATGAACTCAGTCGCCTCCGAATGATTTCCCTCTTCCATCTCCTCTGAGCCAAGATCAGGCAGCTACAGGGATGTGGGCAGGTGGAAGGCTTGGGAAAACTGCATCTTTGCTGTAATGAAGTAAGTGAAGAAAAATGGAGGTCAGTTTCTTAATAGGTACCAGTACTAATACAGGGAAGGGCTTCGTCCACAGACTAGATGTTCACAGCTGGTCGTTCCACTTGTTTGATTAATTTCACACACTGCACATATAGAGGGACACGCAGATGAATCATGCCACACACACAAACACTTCTGATTACTGATCCGAGAAGGAAACTTGTGACACTTTTGTGAGAGAAGCCGGGTGAAACCATCTCAATGTGATGTGATTATTGCTTAGCTCAAATGCGGTACGAGTCAATGAGCATCAATCTCTCCACCGTCCTTGGGCAAGGGGAGTTGTGTGGGTCAGCATGTGGGATTGCGGTAAAGTTCGTGTGCTCTGCTACTTAAGCTTTTTGGCATCTGATAACAACATTTACATTAGTCTGTATGAAACTCCTGAGACTTAGATGAGCGCACGGATTTCTGTGACTAACTAACTGCCTTCTTTTTCCAACCAAATTCTTCATTAGCTCAGCGGGTAAGAGCTGGAACTGAGGCTATCATTGCTGGAGGAGTGCAGTTCAATGCCTGCCAATCACCATGGTGTCTGTGTGGGTGTGTGACTCTGATGCAGAACAACAGCACGTACCTGCGGACAACAGAGAGAGACATGGTGGTGTTTCTCCATCGATAGAAACTGACACTATGGTGCAGTTGGATAGTTTTATACTGAGATATCTCATCTATTGGACAAGATCCCTGGAGCAACTGGGAATACCTGAGCTCAGAGACACAACAGCTAATTAATGAGCTCAGAGAATCTCAGCGACGGAACGGATACCCTGGGGATTAATTTGGCCCCTCTTTTTTCCTGTGTCAGTAACTGATGCAATTTCTATCAGAGTTGCAGAGTAGAAGCCTGAGGGTTATTTCATTCTGCTCTTGTCATTGCAAGTTGGGTCCTGACTCAGAAAGGGCATGTTTCTGGAGACCCACATCTTTTTGTTGAAGATTTAATATTTCAGCTCAGAAACAAAACACATAGGCTACGTCTAGACTGGCATGATTTTCCGCAAATGCTTTTAACGGAAAAGTTTTCCGTTAAAGGCATTTGCGGAAAAGAGCGTCTAGATTGGCACGAACGCTTTTCCGCAAAAGCACTTTTTGCAGAAAAGCATCCGTGCCAATCTAGACGCGGTTTTGCGCAAGAAAGACCCGATCACCATTTTCGCTGTCAGGGCTTTTTTGCACAAAACAATACTGCGTTGTCTACACTGGCTCTCTTATGCAAAAACATTTTTGCACAAAACAATACTGCGTTGTCTACACTGGCCCTCTTATGCAAAAACATTTTCCAAAAAGTGCTTTTGCCCGAATGGGAGCAGCATAGTATTTCCGCAAGAACACTGACAATCTTACATGAGATCATCAGTGTTCTTGCGCAAATTCAAGTTGCCAGTGTAGACAGCTGGCAAGTTTTTCCGGAAAAACTTGCCAGTCTAGACGCAGACATAGAGATGCCCCAGGTACCACATCCCACCCTTCTCTAGCATGGGCCAGGCTCCCTGGCTCGACTCCATCCCCTCTGGCGAATGATGCTCTGCACTCCTGTGGAACTGCCCTGGGATGTCACTTGAATCCCACAGCCACAGGACGACTCTGCAATTTAGGAAGTGACCTCTAGACCAAAGTTGAAGGAGAGTGTTGACACCTGAGATTGGATCAGGAAGAGGAGCCTCAGGTTTGGGGTGCCAGTTGAATGAGTCATAAGGTGATGGCACTGCATGGAAATCTCAGTGTATCTTCAAAATGAGAATCCACCCCGTTCCCTTCAATTGTAAAAAAGTCACTATTGGCGACTACAAGAGACACAGCTCATTTGTGCAACATAAGTGATTTATCTAAATAATTGTGTTGTTCGGGCCTTCCTTAGCAACTCAACTGGTCACCTGATCCCCCTGCAGCCACGGGACCCAGTGCCAGACATTCCACCAGCCAGTCCTGAGTCATGACCTGTAGACTGAAAACTGCTAGTATGGAACAAGGGGCTGGGTTGCCATTCTGCTCCACATCGATTTGACACCACTGTTCCTCTAGTGCCACGAGATGGAAAGATCTTCCCGTAGCTAGTCTAGCCCTGTGTGATTTGGGGCTAAGTTCAACTGCAGATCTCTTCTGCAGACATGTAGCAAGCCATTTCCTTTCTCTGTTCCTCGGCTCTTGCTGTGCAAAATGGAGATTATGCTGTGATATCTGATATGGAGGCTGTGACAACAAATATGATCAAAAAGTCCCAGAAGGGTAGCCTGTTATTCTGTCACTTTAAAAAAAGAGCTAGCATCTCAGAGACCAACAAAAATGTATAAAGTATCAGGAACTTCCATCGGCAAAACCCACATCTTCAGATGATGAGCTGGAGTAGAAATAACAGAAACCAAGTTATTGGGTGCTGAGGTCTTGCTTAGGTCTGTCAGTGGTGCAGCCAGAGTTGCAAACTGGGGAATAAACCAATGGCAATAACTAGCCAAGCCCAAGAAGGCCCACACCTGCCTCTTTGTTGTTGGGACAGGGATTTTGTCTAGGCCTTCAGTTTTGTCTTGCAGGGGCCGTAACTTCCCACTCCCCACCAGATCTCCCGAATACCTGGTCTTTTGCATGCCAAATTTACACCTCTTGGGGTTCGCTGTGAGCTCGGCTTCTTGCAGTGTCTGTAGAACAGACCCTACATGGCTACGTCTACACTGGCCCCTAAAAACGGAAAAGCGATGCAAATCAGGTAAGTCAGCATAGGGAAATCCGCGGGGGATTTAAATATCCCCCACGGATTTAAATAAACATGTCCGCCACTTTTTTTCCGGCTTGGGGAAAAGCCGGAAAAAAAGCGTCTAGACTGGCGCGATCCTCCAGAATAAAGCCCTTTTCCGGAGGATCTTTTATTCCTATCTCAGGAATAAGAGATCCTCCAGAAAAGGGCTTTATTCTGGAGGATCGCGCCAGTCTAGACGCTTTTTTTCCGGCTTTTCCCCAAGCCAGAAAAAAAGCGGCGGACATGTTTATTTAAATCCGTGGGGGATATTTAAATCCCCCGCGGATTTCCCTATGCTGACTTACCTGATTTGCATCGCTTTTCCGTTTTTAGGGGCCAGTGTAGACGTAGCCCATGGGTTTAATGTGACCTCCAGTCCTCACTAAAGATAATCACATCATCTCAATAGGCTGCAGTAAATTGCCCATAATGTCACAGCACCTGACACATTAGGTGCTGGAAGGCAGTTGGTGTCCGATGTAGTTCAAAGGGCAGAGTTGTAATTTGGAAGAGCCTTAATGGGGTAAGTCACCTGAGTTTCCCCTGAGAAGAAGGATGCCAAGTGGTTCTTTCCTAACAAGTGGCCATGGCTACCCATGCAAAGGTGATTCAATAGGCCACGGGATCATGGTGTGGCCCCAGGTTGGCCTGGGGTATACCCAACCCTGAATTCAATGGATGAGCAGAAACTGGAAGCGACACTTGCTGGGGCGGAAGCACCTACAGGAGAACATTCTGCTGTTGCTGGGCTTCCTGCTGCTCTTCTTGGTAGGCTTCCAGCTGTGTCCTCTGGACCTCCATGGACCTCCAGAAGCTTCAGCAACTCCTACTTGGATACAGGGGAAGGTTGAGTCCCTACTTCTGGTACCAGTGTGAAGGGAATCAGCCTCTCCTGCACTCCCCCTTTTGGCCAAGGACATGAGTCCTTGAGCTCCTCTCCTCTGTCTGGCTATGGGAATAGATGGATCCCAGAAACCCTTTCTTCTTGATTGTCTGGGACAGGGCTTATGGAATCATAGAACAGTAGAACTGGAAGGGACCTCAAGAGATCTTCAAGTCCAGTCCCCTGCCCTCATGGCAGAAGCAAGCACCATCTACATCATCCTGAATAGATTTCTTTCGAACTTGCTCTTGACTATCTCCAGTGATGGAGATTCCACAACACCCGTAGGCAATTTATTCCAATGTTTAACCTCCCTGACAGGTAGGAAGTTTTTCCTAATGTCCAAACTAAACTTCTCTTGCTGCAGTTTAAGCCCATTGCTTCTTGTCCTATCCTCAGAGGCCAAGGAGAACAATTTTTCTCCCTCCTCCTTGTAACACCGTTTTAGGTACTTGAAAACAACTGTCGTGTCCCCTCAGTCTTCTTTTCTAAACTAAACAAAAGCCCAGTTCTTCCAGGCTACAGCTACACAGTTTCCCTCTTCCACAAGAGCCTATGTTATGCTATACAAAGCACGTGAGAACTTTTATAGGGGAGAAGGCAGTATGCCGCATTTATTGAGAATACAAGTTAGCATATGCTTTTCAGTCATCACCCCCCCCCCACACACACACCATGCACACAGTCCCGCCAGTGGATGATATAGTTACCAGTCCAGAGTCTGAATCTATCTAGTGGCCACCCAGATTGATCACAGAGGGGAGCCGGGCTTTGTCAGTCATGATCCGATGCTCCTGGAGTTGGTGGCAAGACGAACCCAAAGTCCCATAGCGAAGCACCCTGTTCTTATAATCCTCTTTCCTCTATTGAAGTTTATGGATTTCGCTGTGTCAGTCTGTGACCAGTTACTATTATCTTTTGATGTTAACATTCCAAAACGCCTCCGAGAGGCTCATCCTGTTCTAGATTGCTTAATCAATTGTCTTTGGGGGTGCCAGCTCCACCTTAGAGTTATTCATCTGCCAATCCTTGATCATGGATATGCACTAATAGTTCTTTGGCATCGGTCGGTCTTTTCTCCCCCTCCTTTCTTGACTATCTGGATTTAACAATGGCCTTCACACCTGATCTCTTTCTGATGATACATTCCCCATTCACACAAATGGTGTGTCTAGACTACAGGGTTTTGTCAACAAAAGTGAACTTTTGTCGACAAAACTATAACTGCGTCTACACTACCGCCGAGTTCTGTCGAGAGTAAGTCGACAGAACGCAGCAGTTTTGTCGACGGTGGTAAACCTCATTCTACGAGGAATAACAACTTTTTTTGACAGAGTTATGTCGAAAAAAGGCACTATTGCATCCACACTGTGCTTTTTCAAAAATTAGTGTCTAGACTGTCTGTCAAAAAAGTGGCTTGTTTTGTCAACAGAACTGGCTGTAGTCTAGACACTCTTTTTCGACAGAAGCTTTGTCGACAGTATCTGTCAACAAAGCTTCTGTCAAAAAAAGCCTGTTATCTAGATGTACCCAAACAGTCTTTCACAGAGACCTTCAAAGGTACACAAATAGCAGTGTTTTATATTGAGCAAAAGCAAAAAGCATTGTAAGTTAAACTTTGCTAAATCTTGTAATCAAAACAGTTCACACTGAAGGCCCGGGCCTTTAACTTTCCTCTAGTCTTACTAACATAGACACAATACAAGAGCCTGTCCTTTACTTACTAAACCTTAAAAAAAAGAAATTAAGCATATTTAACTAAAAGGCCTAGTGGTAAAATGTTAGATGTGTTTCCCAGAGGGTGACAAGTAAAAAGTCTGGCAGGATCTAATTAAGGCTTGTGGAAATGCTTATGCAAATGAAGTGCGGCATGGAATATTGCCACACTTCATTTGTATAATTAGCAACCATTTTTGCGCAAGAGGCTTTTGCAGAAAAAAGCTCCATCTATACAGTGTCTTTTTGCGCAAAAACCCCCTCTCGCACTAGACCCGTTCTTCCTAATTTTTTCAGGAACAACAGCTCTTGCGCAAGAGGGAGGTTTTGTGCAAAAAGATACCATCTACACAGCGCCTTTTTGTGCAAAAGTCTCTTGCGCAAAAACAGGTCCTAATTAATTATGCAAATGAAGCATGGCAATATGCTAATCCACACTTCATTTTCATAGGCTCTTTCAGAAGAGGGAAGCAGTGTAGACATAGCGTGGGTCTTCCCTCATAGGTCATGTTTTCTAGACCTTTCATCATTTGTATTACTCTTTGATGGACCTTCTCCAATTTCTCCACGTCTTTTTTGTGGAGACAGAACTGGACACAATATTCAAATTGAGGCCTAATCAGCACAGAGTAGAGTGGAAGAATGACTTCTCATGTCTTGCTCACAGCATTCCTGTTAAATGCATCCCAGAATCATGCTTGCCTTTTTTGCAACAGTGTCACACTGTTGACTCATATTTTGCTTGTCATCCACTATGACCCCTAGATCCCTTTCTGTAGTATTCCTTCCTAGAAAGACACTTCCCATTCTGTGTGTGTGAAATGGATTGTTCCTTCCTAAGTGGAGTACTTTGCATTTGTCCTTATTTAACTTCATCCTATTCACCGCAGATCATTTCTCCAGTTGGTCCAGATCATTTCGAATTATGACTCTATCCTCCAAAGCACTTCCAACCCCTCCCAGCTTGGTATCGTCTTCAAACTTAATAAGCGTACTTTCTGTGCTAATATCTATATAATTGATGAAGACATTGAACAGAACTGGTCCCAAAACAGACCCCTGCGGAACCGCAATTGTTATACCTTTCCAGCATGACTGTGATCTATTAATAACTACTCTCTGCGGCCAGTTATGCACCCACCTTATAGTAGTCCCATCTAAGTTGTATTTGCCTAGTTTATTAATAAGAAGGTCATGCGAGACTGTATCAGATGCCTTACTAAAGTCTAGGTATACCACATCTACCACTTCTCCCTTAGTCACAAGACTGTTATCCTATCTAAGAAAGCTATCAGATTGGTTTGACATGATTTAAGAACATAAGAACGGCCATACTGGGTCAGACCAAAGGTCCATCCAGTCCAGTACTCTGTCTGCTAACAGTGGCCAATGCCAGGTGTCCCAGAGGGAGTGAATCGAACAGGTAATGATCAAGTGATCTCTCTCCTGCCATCCTTCTCCACCCTCTGACAAACGGAAGCCAGGGACACCATTCCTTACCCATACTGGCTAATAGCCATTTATGGACTTAACCTCCATGAATTTATCTAGTTCTCTTTTAAACCCTGTTATAGTCCAAGCCTTCAGAACCTCCTCAGGCAAGGAGTTCCACAGATTGACTATGCGCTGTGTGAAGAAGAACTTTCTTTTATTTGTTTTAAATCTGCTGCTCATTACTTTCATTTGGTGGCCCCTAGTTCTTATATTATGAGAACAAGTAAATAACTTTTCCTTATTTACTTTCTCCACACCACTTATGATTTTATATACCTCTAGCATATAAATTCATGTCACAAATCCATGCTAGCTGTCACCTGATTATCTTCCAGATGTTTGCAGATGTATTCCTTTATTACTTGCTCTATTATCGTTCCTGCACAAAAGTTAAACTAACTATTCTGTAGTTCCCTGGGTTGTTCTTTTTACAGATGGGCCCTAGATTTGCTCTTTTCCAGTCTACTGGAATCCCTCCCAACTTCCGTGACTTTTCAAAGATGATAGCTAAAGGCTCAGATACCTCCTCTATCAGCTCCTTGAGTATTCTAGGATGCATTTCATCAGGCTGTGGTGACTTGAAGACAACTAACTTTTCTAATTAATTTTAACTTGTTCTTTTTTTATTTTAACTTCTAAACCTACCCCATTTCCACTAGCATTCACTATGTTAGGCATTCCTTCATCATCAGACTTCTTAGTGAAGAACGAAACAAAGACGTCATTAAGTACCTCTGCCATTTCCAAGTTTCCCATTATTGTTTCTCCCTTTTCACTGACGGATGGGCCTACCCTGTCCTTGATCTTCTTCTTGCTTCTACTATATTTGTAGAATGTTTTCTTGTGTATCCTTTACATCTCTAGCTACATTTAGCTCTTTTTGTGCATTTGCCTTTTTAATCTTGCCCCTGCATATCTGTATTGTTTGCTTATATTCAGCCTTTGTAATTTGAACTAGTTTCTACTATTTATAGGACTCTTTTTTCATTTTTGGATCATGCAAGATCTCCTGGTTAAGCCAAGGCAGCCTTTTACCATACTTTCTATCTTTCCTATGCAACAGAATAGTTTGCTTTAGGGCCTTTAATAACGTCCCTTTGAAAAACTGTCAACTCTCTTCAGTTTTTTTCCTCTTAGTCTTGCTTCTCATGGGACCTTACCTACCTGCTCTCTGAGTTTACCAAAATCTGCCTTCCCAAAAGCCATTGTCTCGGTTTTGTTGTTCTCCTTTCTACCATTTCTTAGCACGATTTCATGATCACTTACATCCAAGTTGCCTTCCACTTTCAAATTTTCAGCCAGTTCCTCCCTATATTTCATAATGAGATCTAGAACAGGGTTCTCCCTAGTAGCTTTCTCAACCTTTGGAAAGAAAAAAATATCTCCTATGCAGTCCAAGAACTTATTAGATAATCTGTGCCCCACTGTGTTAGTATCCCAACATATGTCTGGATAGTTCAAGTCCCCCATCACAACCTACCCATTTTATAGCTACTGGGAAATTGGGGAAAACAAGACCCACCCACTCATCTGGATCCCAGCCCAGAGATGCTGTAAGTAGCAGTTGTCCACTAAGAGTCCTCAATGTCTACTGCTGCTCACTCCCTCGGCCACTTCCCCAAGAAGCTGTCCTGTGCTTGCCCTCATTCTGGGCATTGAGATAAAATATTCACTGCACCCTGTCCCGGGCTCTGCAATTTTCTGTAGCCCAACATGGCTGGTCTTCAGCCAACAGATATGGGCTTCAGCTGAGTCAGCAAACCAGCCCCCAATTGGAGCGCTACAAGGTATCACTGTCTTCCCAGTCTGTGCCTGGGTCTGCCTGGCTTGAGCTCCAGAAAGGATCTGCCGGGCCCTGACCCAGAAGTTTATTTACACAGACTTTCTGGGCCCTGATTGGCTGCAGCAAAAGCAGCCACTCTAGCTTCCCTGACAACCTCTCCTCTCTACTTTTTTACTTAGGGTGGGGAAGGGAAAGGAAAAAGCTTCCAGGAAGGGGGACGGGGCTGACTTCACCATGTCTCAGGGAGTAAGCCCAGGCACAACACATGTTCCCCAAATCTCCACTATCATGTGCACCTTCTGCACCAGCCATTGCTCCAGCCCGGGTGGAAGTCAGGCCAACCATGACTGGAGATGGGTATTTTGTTCCATTGTTTCCAAACCCAGGGCTAAGTCTAGCTGGTCCCTACAAACACACAATTCTGGGTCGGCTCTGCACAGGACACAGCTGGCTGTGGCAAGAGCAGAATGAAATATCCCTCAGGCTTGGACTCTGTAACTCTAATAGAAATTGCATCATTTACTGACACAGGAGGAAATAAGTAACAAATTAATCCCCAGGGTATCAACTTCATGGGTGAGATTCCCTGAGCTCATTAATTTGTTCTTGTGTGTCTCTGAGCTCAGAGTAATCTCAGTGGCTTCAGGGATCTTGTCCCATGAATCACAGATCTCAGTATAAAACTTCCCAATTGCACCAATGTATCAGTTTTGGTCAATGGAGAAACGTCAGCACGTCTCTCTCTGCTGTCCACAGGTACGTCCTGTTGTCCTGTATCAGAATCACACACACACACACACACACCATGGAGATCGGCAGGTGCTGAATTGAAGTTCTACAGTACTAAGAGCCTCCGTCCCAGCTCCACCGATTCAGCTAAGGTAATAAGAAATTTGGGATCTTAGTCAGAGATGTCAGTGCCTTCCTTTATGTCTCAGGGGTTTCACACAGTAATTCCGTTCTGGGATGCCAAAGAGCTTAATTATCACAGTGAGCAAGTTTTATCCCAATTGGACTTGTCGAGCCACAGAGCTCCCCTTGCCCAAAGAGGGTAGAGCGATTGACTGTCATTTACTCTCACCCTGTCTTGAGCTAAAGAATAATCCCATCACACTGAGATGGTTTCACCCTCATTCTCTCACAGCACAGTCACAAGTCTCTGTTTGCTACTCAGATTAGAGAACAGGAGTGTTTGTGTGTGTGTGAAAATTAACCTGTGTGGTGTTGTATGTATATAGTATGTGGAATTAATCAAATCAGCGGACTAAGCCCTTCCCTGATTCAGTACTGGTATCTATTAAGAAACTGATCTCCATTTTTCTTCACTTACTTCATTACAGCAAAAAGACACATTCCCCTAGCCATCTACCTGCCCACTTCCCGGTAGCTGCTGGATTTCAGAGGAGATGGAAGAGGGAAATCACTCGGAGGCAACTGAGTTCATTCTCTCAGGACTCACAGATCGTCTGGAGCTGCAGGTCCCTCTGTTTGTGTTGTTCCTACTGATGTATATTATCACTGTCATGGGGAATGGGGGGATGATCTTCTTAATCACAATTGAACCCCAGCTCCACACCCCCATGTACTTTCTCCTCAGGAGTTTGTCTTCCTGTGATCTCTGTTATTCCTCTCTAATTGCCCCTAAGATGCTGCAGAATTTCTTAGCTGAGAGGAAGAGCATCTCTCGCATGGCCTGTGCTGTGCAATTGTATTTCTCTATCTTTCTCGCTGATGTTGAGTGTCTGTTGCTGACTGTGATGGCCTATGACCGTTATGTGGCCATCTGTAACCCACTGCTCTATACGGTCACCATGTCCAGGCAGCGTTGTAATCTGCTGGTGGCTGGAGTGTGTGCTGTAGGGTTGGTGGATGCGTTCATACTCACATATTTTACATTCCGCCTGTCATTCTGCCGCTCCAACCTCATCAGTCATTTCTACTGTGACATGCCCCCGCTGCTAGCACTCTCCTGCTCTGACACCCACACTTGTGAGATTGTGTTATTTGCTTCCATGTGCTACATTGTAGTGCTCAACATTGTTATCCTCCTCCTCTCCTATGTCTGTATCGTGGCCACCATCCTGCAGATCCGCTCTGCCGAGGGCCGGTACAAAGCCTTCTCCACCTGCACTTCCCACTTGTGCACAGTGGTCATGTTTCATGGTACCCAGCTCTTCATGTATTTACGTCCTCCCTCCAGCTACTCTATGGAAACGGACAAAATAGCATCAGTGTTTTACACGCTGGTGATCTCCATGTTGAACCCCCTCATCTACAGCCTGAGGAACAGAGACGTGAAGGACGCCCTGAGGAAAGCAGCAAATAAATTGCTACCCAAGTCTTGAATCTGTTCATCCCAGTGCTGGTGGAAACAGAGGAATTCAGTTCCCAGCCTATAGCAATGTCATTTCACTGAGCGCGTGGTGGCACTGTTCATTATTGCACTGTTGTTATCATACATGTGCTATTCCAACACGGGCCTCGGGTCCCCCCTGAGATCAGGGCTTCATTTCACTATTGAATCACTATGACCAAAAATATCTTGGTGATATGCTCTGAAAACGGGGAGCTGGTTGTATTTGGAAGGAAGGGGGCATCAAATCTCCCTCTTCCTCCTAACAGTGTTGATTTCACCGTGAAGTTCCAAGGATGACGTGTGTGATTTCTGTGGGTGAACCAAAGGGAGTTTGTGCAGCTTCCTGCTACTCTGTAGCCCTTCTGTGCTCTGTGAGGTTCCTGTACCTATTGTCACCTGCTTTGTGTCCATGCATGAGAAGAAGAGAGGTGATTTCCATCACACCGTGCTACGGCAATGGGAGAGTTAGGTCACTAATGAGTAGAGCTTTGGATTTCTAAGCCCTTTCTATAGCTTGGTACCCATGGGCTAAAGAAGTGGAAAGGGGGATCTTAGCATCTCTAGGTAACATTACAGAACAGATATGTCAGTGTTTGCTGATGCTCACAGGAAAGGGAAACAGATTCTGCACTCCTGGGTTCCCCTGTCCTTCTCTGCACCATCAATACAAATTGTTTTTAAAATGACCATTTGTGTTTGAAACTTTATTTTTACCTTCCATGGTCAATGTGCATATTCCTTGAAGAATGGAGGAATTTTCTGAATTAAGTAAATCTTCCAATCTGGACAATGTTCAGTTGTCTTTTCACAGTCAAACTATCCAGAGGAAGCAGTTTGAAAAGTATTTACAAATTCAGAGCATAAATGCACAGGTATGAAAAGGTGGGTCTTATGTTCTTTATCCCATCATTTTTCCATATTTGAGTGGGAGTAACCAGAGGTGCCTGCCTCATTACAGGGCTCATAAATGTTTTTACCGCTTTCCATGACCCTCGTGGGAAGCTTAGCAGGGTCTTTGGCTGGCGTGACGCACCCAAGAGAAGGAACCAAAGACCCCAGGGAGAGGCAAATTCTCTCCTTTTGGAGGCTTAGCTGGACTAAGAATAACTTTAGGGTTAGTTTGTAATAAGTTTGTACCGAGGAGTTAGTATTAGTTAAGCATTTTCCGTTACTTTAAGTTGGTAATCTACTTTGCTCTGCCATTTCTCATTTATTACCACTTCAATCCTACTGCTTGTACTTAATAAAATGACTTTTATGACTATCAAGCTCAGTGTAAATAATTATTACCTGGGGGAACAAGCACTGTGCACATCCCCCCCTTTCATTGCTAAAGGGGGCTTACCTAAATAATTCAGTTGGGGTTCTGATCCCATTTGGGGAGGGGTATCCCAGGAAGCTGGGCCCCAAACTGCAGTTTCCTTGGACCTGAAGAATTTCAGCGACTGTACTGCTCCTTGGGGGAGAGGGGACAGTGATCTCAGATCTGTGCCTTTCCTGGAGGAGACCACGGAGCTGGCCATGCAGGACAGGGTGGCAAGGAGCCCATTAGAGCAGGAAGGTGAGTGGCAGGACCTTGTCAGCCTTCTGGGGAGCCCCCCAAAGGCGGTCCTCTGTGGTCACCCCTCAGTGCACCTTTTTACTGCTATAAATAATGTGGGAGGTGGGAGCTCTGGGTTTTTTCAAATTGCCAGGCCCCGTGGAAGATGCTCCCTTTGCCCTCCCCACCAGTGCTACTAGAGGCACTAGACGTGATATTAAAGCCGGCAGCAACATACGAGCATTTCAAAGAGTGTAAACATTAAACGCGTCCCTACAAGGCTAACACCTAGTTGAGCCTTAGCAACATGCTGGAGAGCCAGACGGGTTCCAGCTTTGTATTGATCAGCGTTCACCACCAATCGAGCTGGCTTGTGCTCTGTCAGCCTCCCAAGGCAAAGCAACATCATTTGACTTGGCCAGTTGGTCTCATAGTTTGAGCATGTTATTGGTACTTAGCCAGAGCCCCTTAATGACTCCGTCACAGAAGGCTTTTGAAGGCCAGTCTGATAGGTTTCTATCTGAGACCTTGAAGACTTTTTTTGCCGATCAATATACAACCCAGCTACACAGTAGGTGGAGTGAATATTTCAGGTCTGGCAGGTTTTGCTTCACCTGACATTGGACTCTTTGCCAGTCGGCACTAAGGGGCTGTTGGGTTTCAAAGGAACCTGTATCTGAGTGGTGCTTAAAGTGGGGTCCGCAGACCCCTAGTGGTCTGTGCACACCTACCGTGTGGTAAGAGAACCTATCCCAGCCTGCTCCTGTCCTCTGGCCAGACACCCTACTCCCCACCTGCTCCTGCACCCCACTTCCCACCCAGATCTTGCACCCTCATGCTACTCACTGGCAGCCCTGTCCTGTGCACTGAACCACTCATCCCCCCCTCCAGAGCTCTGGGGGTCTTCCACAAAATCCACTAACCACAGAAACCCTGAAGAGTTAATCTGCCCTATGGGAAACCTTGAACCGTCCTCCCTGTCCCCTTCCTTGGGACCAGAGAACCAGGGGAGTGAGGCTCCGAAGAGCAAGTGTTCAGAGAACTTCATAACACAGAGTACTGAGAAGGACACATGGATAGCACTGGTTGAAGAACTAAATTTATAGTTTGCTGTGAAGAGCTCCAAAAAGATCTCACAAAATTAAGTGAGTGGGCAACACAATGGCAAATTTAATGTTGATAAATGTAAAGTAATGCACACTGGAAAAAATATTCCCAACTATATGTACAATATGATGGGGACTAATTTGGCTACAAGTACTCAAGAGAGATTTTGGAGTTATTGGGGATAGTTCTCTGAAAAAATCCGCTCAGTGTGCAGTGGCAGTCAAAAAACCAAACAGAATGTTAGGAATCATTTAAAAAGTGATAGAGAAGAAGACAGAGAATATCTTCTTGTCTCTATATAAATCCATGGTATGCCCACGTCTTAAATACTGCATACAGATGTGGTCACCTCATCTCAAAAAAGATATATAGACATTGGAAAAGGTTCAGAAAAGGGCAACAAAAATGATTAGGGGATTGGAGTTGTCCCATATGAAGAGTGATGAAAAAGACTAGCACTTTTTAGCTTAGAAAAGAGGAGACTAAGGGGGGGATATGATAGAGGTCTATAAAATCATGACTGTTGTGTAAAAAGTGAATAAAGAAAATGTACTTACTTGTTCCCATCACATAAGAACTAGGGGTCACCAAATGATATGAATAGGTAGAAGGTTTAAAACAAACAAAAGGAAGTTTTTCTTCATGCAGCACACAGTGAACCTGTGGAACTCCTTGCCAGAGGAAGTCATGAAGACCAGGACTTTAACAGGGTTCAAAAAGAGCTAGATAAATTCATAGAGGTTAGGTCCATCAATGGCTATTAGCCAGGATGGGTAGGAATGGTGTCCCTAGCCTCTGTCAGAGACTAGGAATGGGTGATGTGGGAGGGATTTCTAGAGAATTCCCTGTTCTGTTCACTCCTTACGGGGCATCTGGCATTGGCCACTGTCAACAGACAGGACTTTGAACTATATGGACCTTTGGTCTGGTCCCGTCTGGCTGTTCTTATGTTTGCTGTGGGGAAAAAAATCAATTTACTGAAACCAAAACCAGACAACAATTCTGGTGAATAGAGAAAGCAGACAAAAATAAGTCATTCTGAGTTGGATGAATTATTTCAATAGTCCCTCCACTTCCAGTTGTTTAGTTCATGGCCAAAACTCCTGGGGGAAAAATTGTAAAACAACATGTGGAAAGTTGTACCCACTTCTGGTCCCATTTTGTGTTTTGGTCACTGTATCAAGGGATGAGGAGGAGCAGCAAACAGCCCCACCCACTCCTTTGGATCCCGGCCCAGGGATGCTGTAAGTAGCAGTTGCCTGCTAAGCGTCCTCACTGCCCACTGCTGCTCATTTCCTGGGCCACTTCCCCAAGAAGCTGCTCTGTGCTTGCCTTTTTTGCTGGATATTGACATAAAGTCCTCACTGCACACCGTCCTTGGTTCTGCAATTCATCCTAACCCAGCACTGCCAGTCTTCAGCGACTCGGAGCTGTCCAAGGTACCGCGGCCTTCCCAGTCTGTGCTTGGGTCTGCCTGGCTTGAGCTCCAGAGAGGAACTGCAAAAGTTTCTTTACGGAGGCTTGCTGGGCTCTGATTGGCTGCAGCAAATGCAGCCACTCTATCTTCCCTGGAGGACCTCTCCTCTACTTTTTTACTCGGAGGGTGGGGAGGAAAAAGCCTCCAGTAGGGGGCTTTGGGCCAACTTCATCACGTCACAGGGAGCAAGCCCAGGCACAACACAAGCTCCCCAAATCTTCACCATTATGTGCAGCTTCTGCACCAGCCCTTGCTCTTGCCTGGGTAGAAGTCAGGCCGACCATGACTGGAGACGGGTCTTTTGTTCCATTGCTTCCAAATCCAGGGCTAAGGCTTATGCCCCCAAAAAAGGAGGTACACGGATATTGCGGAAAAAGTTCTTTGCATAAAAACAAAAACATCCACACTGCTTGTTTTTGAAAAAAAAAAACCGAGTAGAAAAATGGATCAGCAGAAAATATGCAAATGAGATTGAGACTCATGCAAATGACTCCCTCATTAGCATATTTTTTGCCGTGACAACTTGTAGTGTAGACGTAGCCCACGTGCTTTGTTTCTGAGCCTAAATATTAAATTATCAGCCCAAAGATGTTGGCCTCCACAAACATACAATTCTGAGTCAGGACCCAATTTGCAGTGTCAAGAGCAGAATGAAATATCCCTCAGGCTTGGACACTGCAACTCTGATAGAAATTGCATCACTTACTGACACGGGAAGAAAGAGGGCTCCAAATTAATCCCCAGCCCATCAGCTCCATGGCTGAGATTCACTGAGCTCATTAATTTGTTGTTGTGTCTCTCTGCGCTCAGGTATTCCCAGTGGCTTCAGGGATCTTGTCCCATAGATCACAGATCTCAGTATAAAACTTCCCAATTGCACCAAAGTGTCAATTTTGGTCGATGGAGAAATGCTGCCACGTCTCTCTCTGCTGTCCACAGGTACGTGCTGTTGTCCTGCATCAGAGCACACACCCACACAGACACCAGGCTGATCTGCAGGCACTGAATTGAAGTTCTACAGTACTAAGATCCTCAGTCCCAGCTCCTCCCCAGTGAGTTAAGGGCATGAAAAATGTGGATGGAAAAAATGGGATCTTAGTCAGAGATGTCGGTGCCTTCCTTTATGGCTCAGGAGTTTCACACAGAAATGCCATTATCAGATACCAAAGAGCTTAATTATCACGGTGAGCAAGTTTTACCCCAAACTGACACACGGAGCCATAGAGCTCCCTTTGCCCCAGGAGGTCAGAGAGATTGACACTCGTTTACTCTCAGCCCTTCCTGCGCTAAAGAATGTCGTCATACTGAGATGCTTTCACCTTCAGTCAAAAGTCAAAAGTCTCAGTTTCTGCTCAGATTGGAGAACAGGAATGTGTGTGTGTGTGTGTGAAAATCATATTGTTGTATGTGTACAGTGTGTGAAATTAATCAAACAAGTGAATTAACCCTTCCCTGATTCAGTACTGGTACCTATTAAGAAACTGACCTCCATTTTTCATCATTTACATCATTACAGTGAAGAGACAGGTTCCCCGAGCCATCTACCCGCCCACATCCCTATAGCTGCTGGATCTCAGCTCAGAGGAGATGGAAGAGGGAAATCACTCGGAGGCGACTGAGTTCATTCTCTCAGGACTGACAGATCGTCCAGAGCTACAAGCCCCTCTGTTTGGGTTGTTCCTAATGATTTATGTTATCACTGTTGTGGGGAATGGGGGGATGATCTTCTTAATCACTATTGACCCCCGACTCCAAACCCCCATGTATTTTTTCCTCAGGAGTTTGTCTTCCTGTGATCTCTGTTATTCCTCTCTAATTGCCCCTAAGATGCTGCAGAATTTCTTAGTTGAGAGGAAAAGCATTTCTCGACTGTCCTGTGCTGTACAATTGTATTTCTTTGTCTGTTTTGCAGATGTTGAGTGTCTCTTGCTGACTGTGATGGCATATGACCGTTATGTGGCCATCTGTAACCCGCTGCTCTATACGGTCACCATGTCCAGGCAGCGTTGTAACCTGCTGGTGGCTGGGGTGTTTGCTGTGGGGTTGGTGGATTCAGTGATACTGACGTATTATATATTTCGGCTGTCATTCTGCCACTCCAACGTCATCAGGCATTTCTACTGTGACATCCCCCCGCTACTGGCTCTTTCCTGCTCTGACACCCACACCTGTGAGATTGTGTTATTTGCTTCAATATGCTACATTGTAGTTGTGAGCATTGTGATTCTACTCTTCTCCTATGTCTGTATCATCTCCAACATCCTGCGGATCCGCTCTGCTGAGGGCCGGTACAAAGCCTTCTCCACCTGTGCTTCCCACTTGTGCACGGTGGTCATGTTTCATGGCACCCAGCTCTACATGTATTTACGTTCCCCCTCCAGCTACTCCATGGAAACGGACAAAATAGCCTCCGTGTTTTACACCCTGGTGATCTCCATGTTGAACCCCCTCATCTACAGCCTGAGGAATAGGGATGTAAAGGACGCCTTGAGGAAAGCAGTAAATAAACTGCTAACCCAGTCTTGAATTAATTCATCCCAGTGCTGGTTGAGTGATGGGCAGTGGAAACAGGGGAATTCAGTTCCCAGTCTATGGCGATGTCATTTCACAGAGCGCATGGTGGAATTGTTCATTATTACGCTGATAGTATTATACATGTGTCTACTCCAACACGGGACTCAGGTCCCCATTGGGATCAGGGCTTCATTCGATTATTGATACTCTGTGAGCATAAAAATCTAGGTGAGGTGCTTTGAAAGCTGGAACTGACTGTATTGGGCAAGGAGGGGCGCCTCACATCTCGCTTTTTTTTCTAGTGGTGTTGATTTCATGGTGCAGTTCCAAGGGTGACGTGTGCGATTTCAGTGGGTGAACCAAAGGGAGTTTATGCAGCTTCCTGCTACTCTGAAGACCTTTCCATGCTCTGTGGGGTTCTTGTACCTACTGTCACCTCATTTGTGTCTATGCATGAGGAGGAGAGAGGTGATATCCTTCATACCATGCTAGGGCAATAGGACAGTAATGACAGGGATGAGTAGAGCTTTAAATTTCAAAGCCCTTTCTATAGCTTAGTACCCATGGGCTAAGGGAGTGGGTACGAGGATCTCAGCATCTCTAGGTAACATTACAGAACTGATAAGATGCTCCAGTGTTTGCTGATGCTTTCAGGAAAGGGAAACAGAGTCTTCTCTCCCGGGCTCCACCGTCCGTCTCTGCACCATCAATACAATTTTTTTTTAGAATGGCCATTTGTGTTTGCAACTTTATTTTTACCTTCCACGGTCATTGTGCATATTCCTTGAAGGATGGAGGAATTGTTTGATATAAGAAAGTCTGCCGGTCTGGACAATGTGCAGTTGTTTCGTCAAAGTCAAACTATCCAGAGGCAGTAGTTTCAAAAGCATTTACGAATTCAGAGAGCAAATGCATAGGTATGAAAATGTGGATCTTACATTCTTTTTCCCTCCATTTTTCCATATTTGAATGGGAGTAACCGGATGCGCCTGACTCATTACCGGGCTCATAAATGTTTTTACCTCTTTCTATGACCCTCATTAATGTAGTACCTGTGAGCACTTCACACTCTGGAATGTATTTAAAATCAAGTAGTCCCATGGCTCCTTAAAGAGCAACAAATATATTTAAATTATCATGAGTTTTCGTAGGCAAAACTCCCTTCTTCAGACTGACTACGTCTATACTGTGCTCTCTTGCGCAAGAAAATATGCAAATGAGGTGAAGGAGTGAATATCGCTCCACCTCATTTGCATGCTTAAATGAGCCGCCATTTTTGAGCAAGGGGCTTTCGTTCAAAAAAGGAGCTGTTCTGCCTGAAAAAAGCAGCAGAACAGCTCCTGAGCAAGAGGGAGTTTTTGCCCAAAAGGAGTCATGTAGACAACTCCTTTTTGCGCAAAAGCCCCTTGCATAAAAATGGCAGCCCATTAAGCATGCAAATGAGGCACAGCAATATTCACCACTTGACCTCATTTGCATATTTTCTTGCACAAGAGAGCACAGTATTGATGTAGCCAGGGTGATTTGGAGTAGAAGTAAAAGACAGGAACTTGTGTCTTTGAAAAGTAGCCATTCTGCTAGAAAGGAATTGTGTTATGCTTATAAAAAGCACACAGGATCTTTATGGGGGAAAATGCAATATGTCGCATTTATTGTGAATACAATGGCAAAGCAGTTGTAGGTAAGTGTGAACACCACACACACACACACACACACACACACAGAGTCCCACCAGTTGATTTTATATTTAACAGGCCATGATCCATGACCAACCAGATTGATCATGGACAGAAGAGGGGGGGGCGGCTCTATCGTTCCAGACCGATGCTCCAGTCTTTGGCAGGACCTACGTCCCAAATTATGGCAAAGCAGCTCCTCTTTATAGCACTTTTCCTGCATTGCGATCAGTGAGTTTAGCCCCACCATGCTGTTTTTCTGATAGATGTTTGTTATCTCTGGTTGTCTCTCTTGCGCCTTCTTGCCTCTGTTCTGCCAGGCTAAGGTGGCTTTGATCACAAATATCATGTGTCAGTTGATAAACGCTCACCCTTTCTCTCAAGGTCCAGGGTTATCCAAAGAGGGCAGATTGACATGCAGTCATCTTTGGCACTACATAGTCTATTGCTGGATCCTCCCATTAGCGTCTCTGGTCTGGTGGTGGCCTTCACACTTACCTCCCACACATGCCTTCCTCTCACACATAACAAGGGTAACAAGCCGAATTTCACAAGAGCAGATCATGAAATTCTTTCCCTCTACTATGTTACTGTTGTCAGTTAGGATTTACTACTGGGGTGTGTGGACAGGTCTCTGGCTCTGTCGATCATGACAGATCATGTTGTTGCAAAAAAAGCAAACCTGATTCTGGGATGCATTAACAGGTGTGTTGTGAGCAAGACACGAAGTCATTCTTCCACTCTACTCTGCACTGGTTAAGCCTCAGTTGGAGTATTGTGTCCATTTCTGGGCACTGGATTTCAAGAAAGATGTGGAGAAATTGGAGAGGGTCCAAAGAAGAGCAACAAGAATGATGAAAGGTCTAGAAAACATGACCAATGAAGGAAGGCTGAAAGAATTGGGTTTGTTTAGTTTAGAAAAGAGAAGATTGAGGGAGGACTTGATAGCGGTTTTCAGGTATCTAAAAGGGTGTCATAAGGAGGGGGGAGAAAACTTGTTCATTTTGGCCTCTGAAGATAGAACAAGAAGCAATGAACTTAAATTTCAGCAAGGGAGGTTTAGGTTGGACATTAGGAAAAAGTTCTTAACTATCAGGGTGGTCAAACACTGGAATAAATTGCCCAGCGAGGTTGTGGAATCTCCATCTCTGGAGATATTTAAGAGCAGGTTAGATAAATGTCTATCAGGGATGGTCTAGACAGTACTTGGTCCTGTCATGAGGGCAGGGGACTGGACTCGATGGCATCTCGAGGTCGCTTCCAGGCCTAGTATTCTATGATTCTATGACAACCAGAAGACTTCTTATGTGTTTGCTCGGTGATGTGAACCAGGTCGACTTGTGCACTTAGTCTCCACAGCAGATCCCAAGAGAGCCCCCAAAGACCATAAATCAGATAAGGATCGAAGGTGCCCATCCAGGCTTATTGTTAAGTGAAGTAAGTCAGAGTTGTCAGTAGATTCTACTGAACCACTACACATTTGTACCCACAACAATAGACTGACTCAATCAGTGGGAGACCCCCCCCCAATAAACTTCCAGTCAAAGACTGTGCCCCCAAGACACCACCATACTGGACTAACAAGTTACACTTAGCTTCTTAAATACCACCCATCACCCTGTACCTTGTGGTTTGATTAGCTCATCTCTATCCCTCATGCTGCCATTTTAGACTCTTTCCTGAACCTGGGTCTGTATCTGTGGGGAGTGTGGGTACCAACGTCTTTTTTGAAGAGCTGGTGGTAGCATGTGATTTCAACTTATGACCAATACCAATTACTATTCTGCACCTGGGCCTATTCCCAATTATTGTTTTGCACTCTCAGCCCTGTTTATGCCAAGTTCTGTGAGCAGGGGCCTGCCTGTTGCTTACAGCTTAGCTGGTCTTTATGTTAGCCATACTTTGTCCATTGTTAGCTAGACCTGAGGCCTCTGACCAGGCCTGTACTACATGGGCTTATGTTTTAGGCCTTCATCCTACTACAGTTTCAATATCTACTCCAAAACTACAAACACAATAATAACCATACGAATCTAAATATCGTTTTACTTCCAAATAGTCTGGCAGTGTATACGGCAACAGACATATAAAGACTTCATACATTAAGACTTGAATGCTTAGAATGTCATTAAAAATGGGAAATAGGAATGTTTCTACTACAATTTCAGCAGACGATCACAGAGAGAGGGAGCGGTATTGGTATTCATCTGCAAATTTGACCCTGGTACCCTGTGCTTGAACAAAGACATTAACAGGATGTCACATTTTAAAGCCTATCTCTCCTGCCTTTTACACTGCGTCGTTACAGCAAAAGCTAAGTATGGGACACCACCAGCCCTCTTAATTACCCTCATTAGCACCGATCCTACAATTGATAGGCACCTTTTGTGACAAATCCCCTCCCCCATGCTTTATGAAATGGACTTACGGACACAACTACACATAACTGGAAGGTGGTTGGGACAAATTACTTCATGTAACCTATCAATCTTCATAACATAATCCGCTGGGTCTCTTTATCTAATTGTGGTGTATGTATCATTCTTGAGCGCAAAAGGAGACATATGGAGTACGGAATGATTTATAGTTTTACATGTGCAAAGGAAAGCCATCAAGGGTGTTTCCATTGCCTCCATGTCTGGGCAGTCATATGTAAACATCCTCTTTTGTCCTTTAAGTCTTGGAAGTGGTTGGTCTCAGAAAGTCATATGGCCTCCCTAACTGGTAGGGACTGGCCAGGTAACTTCCCCGAAAAAAAGGGAATCTATAAAACAAAGGGAAGCATAGCAGGGTCTTTGCCTGGCATGACACACCCAAGAGAAGGAACCAGGGACCCCAGGGAGAGGCAAATTCCCTCATTTTGGAGGCTTACATGGACTAAGAATAACTTTAGAGTGAGTTTGTAATACGTTTGCACTGAGGACTTAGTGTTAGCATTAGTTAAATGTTTTCTGTTATTTTAAGTTGATAATCTACTTTGCTCTGCCTTTTCTCATTTATTAGCACTTCAGTGCTACTGCCTGTACTTAATAAAATCACTTTGACTTACTATCAAGCCCAGTGAAAATAGTTATTACCCGGGGGAGCAAGCACTGTGCAAATCCCCCCTTTCTTTGCTAAAGGGGACTTCCCTAATTCAGTTGGGGTTTGATCCCATTTGGAGAGGGGTATCCCCAGGAAGCTGGACCCCAAACTGCATTTTCCTTGGATGGACCTGAAGAGTTTCAGTGTCTGTAATGCTCCTCGGGGGAGAAGGGACAGTGAGTTCAGTTCTGTGCCTTGACTAGGGGACAACAGGGAGCTGGCCCAGCAAGACAGGGTGGCAAGGAGCCCAAGAGAGTAGGAAGGCGAGTGGCAGGGCCTTGTTAGCCCTCCAGGAAGCCCCCCAAAGGGGTCCTCTGTGATTGCCCCCTCATTGCACCTTTTTACTGTTATAAATTACATGGGAGGTGGGAGCTCTGGGACTTTTCAAACTGCCAGACCCCAGGGAAGATGCCCCCTTTGCCCTCTCTGCTAGTGGTACTAGAGGTACTAGATGTGATATTAAAGCCGGCAGCAACATACGAGCATTTCAAAGAGTGTAAACATTAAACGCGTCCCTACAAGGCTAACACCTAGTTGAGCCTTAGCAACACGCTGGAGAGCCAGACGGGTTCCAGCTTTGTATTGATCAGCGTTCACCACCAATCGAGATGGCTTGTGCTCCACCCGCCTCCCAAGGCAAAGTAACATCGTTTGACGTGGCCAGGTTGGTCTCATAGTTTGAGCATGTGATGGGTACATGGCCAGGGCTCCTTAAGGGCTGCACCAGAGCAGGCTTTTGAAGACCAGTCTGATCTGTTTCTATTTGAGACCTTAGAGACTTTTTTTTGTAGATCAGTGCCCATCCCAGCTACACATTCAGTGCAGTGAGTGTATCAGGTCTGGCAGGTTTTGCTTCACCTGACATTGGACTCTTTGCCAGTAGGCACTAATGGTCTGTTAGGTTACAAAGGTACCCATAGCTCAGTGGTTCTCAAAGTAGGGTCCGTATTCCCAACCCAGGGCTAAGGCTGCCTGGAATTTTTTCTTCAAAACGTGATTTTCTTAAGAGTTAAATTGGATTTTCATGGAATTCTTTTCCATCACAAAACCAAATTCCCCTTCTTGCCAAACTGTGGCTGTAAGACTCTAGTGATGTCCCAGGACAGTTCTGCAGGAGGACAGACCATCATGTACCAGAGGGGATGAAGTCCAGTCTGGGAGCCAGGCCCATGGCAGAGAAGGGTGGGATATGGTAACTGGTGCACCTCCATGTGTTTTGTTTCTGAGCTGAAATATTATGTTTTTTGCTGAAAGATGTTGGTCTCCCTAAACACACTCTTT